GAGATGGCCATGTCGGTCACGTAATTTGGGAGATGCCCTCATTACTTTGGTTTTCTAATGAATGTGGATGGTGACTTGTGATTTCACCGAAATGCATGCCAATTCCCTCACTATCCGTCACGTATTCTATAATTCTGACTTCCTTAAGTTAGGAGGTCCGATCTTTGAGGTCGACGCGTAGGAAATGAAGCGAAAAATGGGAGAAATAGACAGAACAACACAAGTGTCGTTTAAACACGAGTTTGAGCAGCCACGAGCCTTTCGGGCCCCTGTATTCGACAAGTTTAACTCATTTGAGTCTCGAGATGGCCATGTCGGTCACGTAATTTGGGAGATGCCCTCATTACTTTGGTTTTCTAACTAATGTGGATGGTGACTTGTGATTTCACCGAAATGCATGCCAATTTCCTCACTATCCGTCACATAATCTATAATTCTGACTTCCTTAAGTTAGGAGGTCCGATCTTTGAGGTCGACGCGGAGGAAATGAAGCGAAAAATTGGAGAACGACACTTGTGTCGTTCTGTCAATAAACATGAGTTTAAGCAGCCACGAGCCTTTCGAGCCCCTGTATTCGACAAGTTTAGCTCATTTGAGTCATGAGATGGACATGCTACTCACAACATTTGAGAGATACTCGCATTACTTGGACAACATGAAAAATGAGAACAACACTAGTGCTGTTACTGTTTTTGAAAACAGCACAAGTGTCGTTAGTTATGTAAATACAATACGAATAATTGATAAATTATATATTTATAAATAAATTGTCATTAAATCAATAATGTTTAATTTCTGAACAATATTTTTATATTTTCTGCGTAAAATACAAAAAACGGCACCAGTGATGTTTCGATATGACAACAAAATATATCTGCCATTATGGCTTTATCGATTCTAAGATAATGACAAAATGAATCATTCCAAAGATTTTAAATAGTTTACATTTAGGAATGACAAAAGCAGTACATCATAACACCACCGTCCTTTTTAATACTACAAAAGAAGCACATCATAAAAGTCAAAATTCAACAGATGTGCGGTTTTATCTTCATCATTCATGTCTCTCGCTAAGTGGTACACGATCTGTACAAGTGATACGGTTATGCCCAGTTTTCAAACACCTACTGCACTTACGAGACTTGCGCACCTCTCCGGCTGATTGTTTCCTTTTTTTTGGTGGACGTCCACTTCCTCTTCGTGTCAACGGTCGTATCACCTTTCTTGATCGAACACTATCGGGAATTTCCTAGTCCACCTCATTTGACAGTGGATATATATATTCAGAATAAGCTTGTTTCCAGTAAGAAGTGCTATAAAATGGAGAGCAAAACCTATAACAGTTGTCTCCAACATCCCTTACTACTGCAATTGCATGTGCACATGGAAATTGGTCCAGATCAAATTCCTTACATGTGCATGTCCCCCTCTCCAAATTAACAATGAATTTTTCCATTTTATCACTCACTTGCATTTCATCTGGCCTAAGAGCTTTTACCTCAAAACCTTTTGACTCATTATACCTATCGTACATTTTCTCCTCTATTGGCGGGGTGAGATAGCTTGTACATTTTTCGGCATCAATGCGCCTATCATGAAACCAACTCTGCATCTTTTCCCTGATATACTCGATCAAAGCAAGTATAGGAAATTCTCGAGCACTTCTCAACAATGAATTTAATGATTCTGCATTGTTTGTGGTCATAGTATTGTATCTGATTCCATTGAAATGTGCTCTTGACCAATACTCCACGCCAACCTCTTCCTCTAAGTATTCTCTGATTTTCTCGTGTAGACTGCACAATGCTTGCATATTAATCTCAAATTTTGCCAAACTATATGCCTGTGCAGTAGCTCTAAACAATGGCACAATATCTATGCGAGGGAATTTGCTCTTCAAGTTAGTTTGCAAATGCCATATACAATGTCCATGATGTGCGTTAAGATAGACGCTGTTGAAACCATTTGATATGCTTGTTGCACGGTCAGATATAAAGACTAGCTCGTCTGTGTCATCGGTTATCTGTCGTAACTTCTGAAAGAACCAAGTCCATGAGTCATTGTTTTCTGAATCCACTATGCCCCACGCAAGTGGATAAATTTGACGATTTGCAATCCACTATACCCCACGCAAGTGGATAAATTTGACGATTTGCATCTTGGCATGTGGCAACAAGTAACGTACCTCGATACTTAGATTTCAAAAATGTTTCATCCACACAAATTACCCGTCGAATTGAAGAGAGAAATCCACATATGCTTGGTCCTAATGCCATAAAAAAATACATGAAATGTCCATCATTATCGGTTTCAATAAAGGTCAACATACCAGGATTATTTTTCTCCAGAATGTGACAATACATTGGTAACTTTGCATAGCTATCATCAGGGCTACCTCGAACCTCTTTGTAAGCAAATTCTTTGGCCATATACGCCTTGTGATATTTTATAGTTATGCCAAACTCTCGACGAACGTCATTGATAATGTTTCTTGGTCTGTACACTATGTTGGCATCATGATATTTTGGAGCTACATGTTTTCCAATTACCGAATAGGTAGCATGTCTATTATCCCTGCGACGAACACTCATAGAGCAAATGTGATGGCTAGAATATTTTCGTATTTGAAAAATCTCAGATTCAGCTATGCTCGTTGCCCGTAAACGCCAGTTACAAATTTTCTCAACACAAACGACTGTATAAACACTCTTATTTGATTTCTTCACTTTAAATTCAAATTGGTACTTCACGGCAAGTAGCTGGAGTTTTGATATCAAAGCACTTTTAGTTGGAAATAGTTCATCATCATGTACATCCTCATTTTCTGGAATCCTAACTGATGATCTATAAGGAATTGAACACAGGACTTGTGTTAAAGTACCAATAATGTCCTCTTCCATGGAGAAATCAACATTGTTTTCATTTCTCGGAGGAGATTTATCTTCGAAATCTTGTTGTTCGGAACTACCTTGAATTATATGCAAGTTATCCCAATCCACAGAGTTTCCTTCTTCTACGTTATCATTTCCATGATCGCCATCATATAGCTCAACTTCATTTTGATGGCTCACATCTCCCTTTTCTACTCCACCATTAGTTTCTACTCCACAATCTCTTTCAAACTCCCTTACACTATCACATTCACCTGTAACTTTAGTCGAAATAGTCACGCAAAGAGGATGTTTTTTACAAATAGAAAGAAACCACTTCACTTTCATGTCACTGTTAATCCTTTGTGGTGGAACTGAAAACTTAGACATTCCAGGATTAAGGGACATCATCTCAATTTCATATAACTTTGAATCCACATTAACAAGTTCTTGCACTTTGTTGTACAACTCTATATACGAAATGCTAGATGGAACATAAAGAATATCCACATTTTCTTCACCGTTTCCTATATAATCCCATGTCCATTTGCTTTCTTCAGTCTTTTTAAACTCGACAAAATAGCATACTTGTACCCATATCATTTCTACAGAATCCATACCTGTAAAAAAAAAAAAAAGTTAAATAATTTACTCAAGTATATATCAAAGTAATATGAAAATAGTTACCATATTTGAATGATCAAAGTAACCACAATATATCATCAATAATGGACAGATCATAACAGATAACGGTTGTACTATCGTTTTACATGGTAGATAACGACTGTAGTGTCGTTCTGAACTACTAATAACGACTGGAGTGTCGTTATCGTCCAATAGTTGCGGACGATGCAAATATACACCAAATGCGAAAATAAAATCAACTAAAATATCATTTTATACTATATTCAACAATAAAAATACCAATATAAATGAGATTTCTAAAAATACCTTTCTTCTTTCTTTAAATATAGTAGAAATTTCAATGTGGATAATGTAGACACTAAAATCCTTGTTAAAATGCTCAAAATATTAGAGAAGATAGATGAAGAATGCAATGAATAACAAGATTTTAAGGAAGCATCCACCGGGAAAGCACGTCCACTGATTTTTGCTGATGATTTGAGGGATTTAATTGGATTGAAATGGGTATTTGAGTCTTTTCAATGGTGAGGGTATTTTAGACATTTGATCTTATTTGTTTATTATTTTTTGTAAGTGGAGGCTATTTTATCAAATAACATTGAAGGAAGGTTATTTTACAAATAACATTGTTTGACTGAACTTTTTTATCAAATTCCCCTAAGATGAATGACTTTAAGGGTCCGGCTAGATGGATGAAGTTTCTGCGAAACATCATCAAACGTGCAATTCTCACAGAGCGCGTAAAAATTATTCTAAATTTAGGTGTTTTAATTGAGATTTTATTGAATTTTCATTAAAATTTAAATGTTCTCAATTGAGAATTTAGGCACCGTTTGATTAGGTATTATTTTCCATGGAAGTTCCGACTTGCACTTTGGAGGATTTTAATTTATATTTATATTTATATTATTATTATTATTATGATTTTTTTTTTTTTGGACATGGAATTGCCTTTCTTTCTTTTTTAGGAAATCGATTTTTTCTTGCTTTTGCTGGAATTAGCATTCTCACCAATATATGGTGAGAATTTTAATCCCAGGTTACTGTAGTAATTTTTTAATTTTTTTTTTTTTTTTTTTTTTTTTATGTTACTGTAGTAATTTTTTTTTTTTTTTTTTTTTTTTTTTTGTTGACAATGCGAACAAATTTTAAGAATTATTGTAAATAAATATTTTCCTTTAACTAATAATTTTCATGTAAAATAAAGCTAAACAAACACCAAAAGATAGATGATTTTCTTGAAAAAAAATTATTTTTTTATATTTTTTTATAATGAAAACAAATTTCATTCCAAATACCAGTAAATTCTATCTATTTAATTGACAATTTTCATGTAAAACAAAATCAAACGGACATAAAAAACACTTTAATTTAAACATTTTTCACGTGGAAAATTATACTAATCAAACACAATAATTTACAATTCTCAGGAAAATAATTTCCCATCAATTCAATTCCCTAAAATTCGTTTTCTTTCCACCCAAATTTCACTTTTGCAATCAAACGAACCCTTAATGAAATTTTTTAAAATTTATATATCCTCAATAATTAGTGAATTAGTAAAGATTTTATTAATAGAAAGATTCTAAAAGATTTGAATGAATTTCAAATTTAAAAATATATATAAATAAATCTTTTAAATTTCATCATATCTGATGAGATTCTTATGAAATATGTAAGAATCTATTCAAATTCACAAAATTTATTATAATTTATAATCCTTTAAAATTAATTAAAATCTTGCAAAGTCCTAGTTCTTGATTGTGGAGTATTAATTATGTGTTTAATTAATTTAATTAACCTATGAAGATTAGGGAGATTAGACAAGAAAAATATATCGGCCTATGATCAAAGATATTTGGGAGGCCTTGATTGTGATTGATAATAAGCCCTATTTGACGTCCATTCAATTAAAATTTATTTTTTTTCTCAAATTTATTTTCGATCGTAAATTCACTTTAGTAAAATATTTTGTACATGAATTTAATTTTTTTCTTTTTTTTATCACACATTTTTCAAAAAATAATATTTCAAAACTCATTTTCCTTTCAAAAAATCATTTTAATGAATGTCAAAAAGTTTGACACGTTTAGAAGGCATGAACAAAAATAGTCATAAGTATGCCTCAGCTTACTTAAGGCCCTGTTTGACACCAATTATTAGAAAAATTAAAGATTTTTTAATAGTATTTTTGGAGAATGTGTGATTAAAAAGTAAAAAAAATTTGTTGTTTGTGTAAAATATTTTATTGTGTGAATGTATAGTAAAATAATATTGTAACAAACAATTTTAGTTTTTAAAGGTTATCAAGCATGTGCTTAATTTTATTTACTAAAATTTTACTTTGAAAAAATCAAGGAAAAAATAGTATTTGTAGATCTTACGAGACTTATGGTTGAAATTAATATTTGACACTGAGAGAGAGAGAGAGGGTGTGTGACGTAGGCTTTAGAAGAAAATTGGACCACACTGTGCATAATAATAGTTGTGAGAACATTCAACTACGATGACTAGATAAAAGTTTGTGGTTAGTCATCAAATAAGTTGTGCTTGCTAAAGGTGGTGAGCTCTAATGTGGTGGACAAGTTAGGTTTGGATGGAAGGAGCGATCTTTCTTGATTTTAAGAAGACGACGGAGGCAAAATGACTTGGTACTTCGACTAAGGGGGTTCTATAGAGGTGCCGTTGAACTTTTATAGGCGTTTCAAATCGATCATTAAACTTTAATTTATTTTTAATTCGTCAACGAACTCTCAAATTGTTTCTAATCGTTCCTTTTCTTAGTCAACATGGGTAAAATTAACTCGTAGACTTGCGTGACAAACAACCTGACTTATGTGAAACGTCCTTATTTATTATCTAATATTATTTCTCACCATGAAATTTACCAAATGAATTGATTTATTTTTTTTCTCTAAATCGGATGATGCTTTCTTTTTTTCTTTTTTCATTTTTTCGATTTCAAATACGACGTGGAAAGAATAATTTTGGATTACAGCTGAGGAGGTTCTACGTAAATTAGGCCATTTGTTGTGTAAGATTATGCTTTAATTTTAAAGAAGTAGACTAATAGGAGTATCGCTCGAATACGATTTTTAAGTTTAGTAACTAATTACTAATAAAGTAAAGTTTAGTGGCTGATTTGAGATGCGGATAAAAGTTCAATGATTGACATTTTTAGCTTTTACCCCTAAAGCATTGAGTAATTCTGTTTGGACAGCGCCACATTGGGCACTCCCTCCAATAGGGAGGCGGCAATTCGGCCCTTCCATTCAGCAAAGTCCGTAAAGCATTACATCAACAAGTTATTAGAAAACTTGACTGTTAGATGTAGAATTTTGAGAATAGAGTTTATGAAGAATGATATTTTTATTTTTATTTTTTTAGAATATTTGATTAAAAAGTATGAAAAAATTATGAGTCAATGTAAGAAAATATTTTATTGAAAAAATATGTGATTGAAGATAAATTACGAAAAAATTGAAATATGAAGAATCTCTATCAAAGAGGGATTAAATTTATATAGAAAAATTCTCCAAATAGAATTATTTTTAATTATAATCTCATTCCCAATATCAAGCAAATATATGAAACTTCATGACCCAACATATATAAAGTATAAAATATGAAAAGATATTATTTTTATTTATTGCATCCATTTTTATATTTCATATTCTTAATATATATGTTTATTTTACGCATTTATTTTCTATTTCATGTCCTTATATCTAACGTATTAGTATGTTTTGAATTTGATTTATCACTATATTACTTGCACAATTTATACATCAATTATTTTAGCTAAACACGACAACGAGCTCTTTTAGCCCCAATATTAAAAAAACTATAACAAATATAAATTATATGTGACAAAAAGGGGGAAAAACATTTGAATAGGTTAATCTTGTCTGTTTTCCTTCAAGTTACTCATAACATTGATCTATTATTAGTATTATAACTTATACATACTGAATTAAAAAAATAAAAAAATAAAATAAAAAATGAAAGAGGAATATGGTCCAAACCGACACTCCACTAGAACTATAAGATAATAAGATAATGTTTCTGATGCAACATGTCACATGATATAAACTTTTAAAGCATGTTGGATTTGGGACTGATTGGAAAGAAATGACATGAGTAACGGTTCCCTTCGAATACTTAGCTCTTGTTTGACTGCTTGCCAATGAGTTGTTGGAGAATGTATAAATTTATATGGTTTACTGCAAAACTCGTATCACGTCTTCTTATTGCGCAATTGTAATAAACCAACGATACTTCCATATTGAGTAGGAATATATTAGTACTTAGTAGTTCACCAACGAAGATATTGCCAGTAACATGCGCTTGTGTAGAATTATTTGCCTTATAACTTTCGCATATCCATGTCATATGGACTGATTCAATGTCGTGCTTGTGCTTTTACCAAGATTTCTATATGTTTCTTTATTGTTGCAATGTGTGTGTTAGCAGCAGCGATAATGTGTCCAATGTCTATCTCATGTTTTCTTGTTATTTTCTTTGGGACTTCACAGTCTAAAGAAATAATCTACTTATACAAAGTTTATTTGCAAACTACGTGTAGACAAGATTTAGACCATTGATTTCAAAAATTATTTTTAAAATGATTGACCTAAACATCGCCAACATATAGTTTGTAAACTAAATTTGTCAACCTAATTTGTACAAATAGCATGATTCTTAAAGAAAATATGAGATGTGTCTTGGCAATCAATTCAAATAATTCTCATGCTCGACTCGCTATTCTATTCATAATGCAACCATTTGCTGAAGAGTCTACTACAGACTTGGAAGGAATGGATTACATGATTCATAGTCGACGCTATAGTGAATTTGAAATGCATTAACAAGAGGAAATATATGATGATGGGATTAATACCTCAATATTTTTAAAACTCGAACTTGTGAAGATTTGAAACATATATTCATAGGGAGGAATCAATAATTCTCAA